ATGGACATGGCAGCTATAGTTTCAGCAACCATAAAAGGTAATTTGTTACATACATTTTATGAGCGCCTTAATTATACCTGCTCGAGACATTTTTAAGAGTATTTCAGGACTATCATCAGTTTTTTGGTCTGTTAAATTTCTGAATCTCCAAAGGCGCTTGTTCCTGATGTCCTGAAATGTATTACAAAGCCATCAGTATTGATGGCTTTCCCGGCAATTTCCGGGACACTCATATGACCAGTACAGCCTGCCTAACTGGGATGTTTCAGGTTTATTTCAAAGCGCGTGACAGACAGCCTTTTCCGACAAGAGAAATTGCCTCAAAAGTGACAGAAAAGTGAGCATTTCAGCACTCAGGAAAGTTGCTGGAAAGTCTCCCAAAATGTTACATTTCGGATGCCTTGTCTGGGACATTTCGGGCCCCCTGAAATCTGGGGATGCCCGTAGTGTCCGTACAAGCTTGAAATCGCTGCCAGACACCTTCTGTGGATGGTAAGCAAGATCAAATACACATAAATCTGCATTTCAGCAGGGGCGGCATCTGAAACCAGAAGTACTTGAAAAGACAGTAGAAAAGACCGCAAGAAGACCAGGCTCAAAAGTAAAAGTACAGCCAAAAAAGTCAGAAGTACGTAGAAGTCCAAAAAGACACCTTGTGATCTTACTGATGAGCTGTTGATGCCGGCTGAAGACAAGGACCGTGTCTCACAACAAACTTATTATGCGACCAATCTTTGTCTACAAATGAAAAGGGTGAGGGTGTAGGAGACACCCGCCGGCAGTACTGGTAGACGAAAGCGGAGTAGGCCACAGAAAACAAGGATTGCGTTATTGTTTGTATACCGAAACAAGAGACAGGCCGTGTGGATTGCGAAACAAGCATGTTATTGTAATACCAGACGAACGCGGAGCGTAAGTCCCTTTTGGTATGTCGAAGATGACTTCCTTGTTTGGAACCGCGCGTGTATATAAATCTTTGTAGAACGCCCGCTGAAAGCATCTCTCATCCCTACCGCCACACTGGTAAGCATTGCCTCTCGGAAAACGCGATTCGCGTGCTGAGTCGACATAGTTTTCTGCTCTGCCATGGATGGACCCCTTGCGTTCGGTTACAAAGTTACATACCAGTGGGTTATCAGTCGTGCCAAAGAGATTGGTATAGAACCCGAGGACGACTCCGTTAGAGCGAGGGCAGATGTTATGGTGGACCTGATAACCACCCTCGCAGCGCAAGTCGGCTTGTTACGGCAGGTCCGGCCAATCTGTGTCAGGGGCAAAGGTGTTGTTGCTTTCTGCATCGCCTCCACTGACCCCGGCGACGGGCTACCTCGGAGAGTGACGGATGCTGCCAAGATTGAGAAGCTCAGGCAGATGGTTGGCGCAGACGGGCCTCCGAGCTGGTGGCGGCAGGATTAGCAAGATGACCCGCTCAGATTTGGTGCGAGTGGCGTATCCAATACCAAGTAGACAGTTCACTAACGCACTCGTGCATCTACAGAATACGACGACATACGTTTGACGCGTCTATACGTCGTTATTGTTATACTATCCCTTGATAATCTTGTGTTTCGTTCCGACATCAATGCCTTGGTCGTCACTTGGGTAATGTTCTTGCAGTCGCACTATCATGTAAGGCTTGAGTGGTTCTCTAACATGTGCAACGACACCGATTGTTCAACTCCAAGTACCCAGATAGCTGCCACTATGATCATGGCTGGTCATGTCGTGCGACGAGAACAAGTAAATATATTGAGCACCCGGCGGGTAGGCAACCAGCACGCTCTCCTTGAACAACGCGACGTGACGTAACGCGTCTTGCCGCGTCACCTGCACCCAGAACGATAAATCATACATAAGAGCTGTATTGCCCGAGGTGGTGGAGGGTGCGTGAACTGCAAGCGGTGGATCGAGGCAGGCGCAGCATGCAAGACCAGTAACGGAGAGCTTGGTCGTGGGGGTGATGATATGTCTACCGTTGAGCGAGCACATGGTGACCGACACCCAGCTATGACGCGTCCGTGGCGCGTCACTAAGCACTGAAGACGAGCGGACATGGACGCCTTGCGACTCGCGTCTTACGTTGGCACCCAGCTTCTTTGTCCGCAGCATGTATGTTCCGCATTGGCCGGTGAGAGTTACAAGTTGCTCAACCTCATCTATGTCAGATGCATATGAGTTTCTGTTCGAGTCGTCCCGCAGCGAGCTCCCCCTGGATTTTTTGTGAGACTGACCTTTGAAAGGATTTGGTGCTCGACACAGACTCCGACCGGCGAATTCCAGAAGCGCGCTAGAATGGCAGGGAATCAGGAGAACGCCCGTCGGCATCTTTCGTACGGCTCGCATACTTAACCCACACAGGTTTGTAGTCATGGTCGAATATTATGCACTCGGCTACAAAGTCATATATCAGTGGATTCCCGCTAGTGCAAAGGAGCTGAGCATGGAACCCAGGATGTCATGTTTGATTATCTGGTCACTGTTGGCGGGCAAGCCAACATGCTGAGGCACGTCCGGCTAATTCCTGTCAAAGGTAGGGGGGTCGTTGCTTGGTGTCTCGCCTCCACCGACCCTAGCGACGGGCTACCCTCGAAAGTGACAGATGTCGACATGATCGAGAAGCTGAGCCCGAATTGTTGGCCGGGAAGGGCCTCAAAGTGGTGGCGGCAGTAATAACATGGCAAAAGTACTGTTCAGTTCTGGTGAGCACAACGTATTCAGCATTGAATGGACAGTGGACTGACATTTTTGTACAGCTATCTTCGCAGCGCTACCTCGGTGGTCTTTGCATGACATGTACCAAACCTCCACTTTGCCCGTGCTCACTCCTATGTTCTCTGCGAACGCCTGCGCCTGTATCTCGTCCGTATTGGTTTTGTCGAAGAACCAAGCTAACCCCCCCTCCGAAGTGGGACAAAAGCTTGTCGACTTCGGGATGCTTTTATTCGTACACCTCCGACCCTCGTACTTGCTCGCGCATAACGACTCGAAGCTATACCACACCTCGCTCCAGATCTCGGTCTCGTACACGCGCTGCTTTGCGGACCCGCCGCCGCACGTGCTCAAGGTGCACCAGCAGCTCTCCGCCGCCTTCGCGTCACGCCTGGCCAGGCGAAGCTCTAGAGCACGCTCAGTAGCATCGTCGACTGCGCCTACGCACTTTTCTATCGCGGCGAGGTGGACGGTAGGAACACCAGCAGCCGCCCGTCGCGTGTCTTCGTCACTGTCTGCAAACCGCAGGGGATGGCTGAGGACATCTGCAACGTTGTAGCGCTGTCGAGCTGTTCGACGAGTGAGTCTCTCCTTCGGCTTTATCTCTCAAAACTCCCTTGCTCATGCGCGGCTCCTCCCTAGCGTCTTTGATAACTAATCGCAAGATTGCCGCAACGGCGCGCAACGTCCCGCGAATTGGATTCATCTATACCTGCATGCGTCATCTCGACGGAGACCCGACCGGCCCTCCTCTCCTTTACTTCACGTATTTATCGACCGCTGTTCTACCCCTTGATATCCATGTGCCCCTACCGGCTGATTAGTAGACTAGAAATAAGTATAGCGAATACCCAAGTGCGTGTCTATCCTTTTCAATGGTCACATTCGAGCGGCGGACCCTCTCGCGTGATACATATTCATAACCAATCCGAGAACACGCATTCGACCTTATAGAACACACAATAACCCTGTCATCTCGCCCCACGTGCGAATCCTGCAACCGTGCAACTCTTACGGCACGGCCTAGGTACTTCATGGTGAACAGTTGGCATCTCGCCCGTGCGCACAGTCAAGGTTTCAGGACTCACGGTTGGGCTGCCCCCTCTCTTACTCCTGGCATAAAGCTTCCTGCATCTTCTGAATGTTCCTCCTCAGCGAGGCCAGCTTTCGGTCGGACGAAGAGGTGCCCATCTCGTATGTCTTGGACCACTTTAGGTCCTCCGGAGCATCGACGTATGAGGCGTTGGGGCCTCCTGCTCCTTGAGGAACGTTATCGCGGGTCAGAAGTGCGACTCTCCAGTAGTGCCCGCTAGAGGCAATAAGATAAACTTCCTTGACACTTCGGTCGGCGTCGAAAAGCAGGGCACCTTGATCTTCCGCCTGAAATGCTCCGGTAGCCAAGAGGTTGAGGAGCTTCTGGTCGAGCTCATGTGCGGGCAGGCGTCTCTTGGGGTGCCGCTTGCATTCTACTATGGCGACCACTCGACTCTTCTTGATTTTATGACCCAAGAAGTAGGCCTTGAGTCGACCGTCGTCGGTGTTGTCCGGCCTGCAATCGCCGGCGATAACGCAGAAGTCGGGAACCATCTCATCTTCCACGGGGACGGCGATGGTCTCCATGCTGGCATCCGGGTCTTGTACGGCAGCTTCATCGTCATCCTCCCCGCCAGCCATCACTACATCTCCGCCCGCGTCCAGTTCCACCATCAAGTTCACAGGGAGCTGGGGAGCGATGACCGTGCAGGGTACACCTGACAGAAGAATGGTAATCCTACTCAACATCTCCGCGTACCACGGAGCTTCGATGTTTCGCCTATTAGCAAGGTATGACAGTCCAGTGTGGCGTGAGACTGCCAGCTTGGCTGCAAGCTGTTGCTTGGTTTGAGC